AAGCCCCAGTAGATAGTTGTGTGTCATAGCTGCACATCCTTCTAGTTGCTGTATGTGGGACGCGGCCTCAGCATGGCCGGAGAAGCAGCGCGTCGGTGCGAGCCCGGGATCCGAACCCGGGTCGCCAGAAGTGGAGCGCGCTCACTTAACCACCAAGCCACGGGGCCGGCCCTAGCATAAACTCTCATTAACCAAGCACAGAGCCCAGTATATAAACCAGAATAGCAACTTACTAATATGCTTTGAGATACACAACTGTTGAGCTCATTGGAAAGCCAGATCATTCTCTCCCTATAGACCAACTTCGATAGGAACAAAGGTTGCCTGGTGAACATGGAATTGGATCAAGAAGTTATACGATGATCCACAAGAGGGCAACACCTGCCACAGAGCACTAGGCATACCTAGTGCACCCCCATGCACCTACCCACAATGCTTTAGTTGGGCATTCCCAGTGTCCAGCTCTTAAAGCTTCATTTTCCTATGCCTTACACTGACCATTCCTTTCTGTTAGTTTTTCTTCAAATGTTATGGATTAAGTTTTATGATTATTTAATTATAATGACGTTCTAGTCCTGCTTCCCATTGTTTTGACTTTTAAGTATTCCTAAACTCTTTGTATTCTCCAAAATGAAAACAGCTTTACAGAGAATTATAAAAAGCTGAAATCACCTGAAAGGATCACTTTACTATTTTAATAAGCATCTTTCCAGATATCTCTCTATGCATTTACCACATGAAGATATTTATTCATAAATTTACATAAATGGGGTCCTATTACACCTACTAGCATACTACTACTAGCATTATTCCATAATATGTTATGGACATCTGTGTCAATAAATCTATAGCTATGACATAATTTCTAATTAGTCCACTTATGGTTGTTCCATAATTAAAATTTTTTTCATTGTGGTAAAATACACATAGCATAACATCTACCATCTAAACCATTTTTAAGTGTACAGTTCAGTAGTATTAAATACATTCACATTGTTGTGCAACCATCACCACTATCCATCCCCATAACTCTTTTCATCTTGTAAATGTACTATTTTAACCATTTTTAAATATACAATGCATTGGCATCAAGTACATTAATGATGATGTGCAACCATCACCACTATTCATTTCCAGAACTTTTTCATCATCCCAAACAAAAACTCTGTACACCTTAAACAATAACTCACCATTCTCCCCTCCCCCCAACCCCTGACAACTACCATTATATTTTCTGTCTTTATGATTTTGACTATTCTAAGTACCTCATATAAGTGTAACCATATAGTATTTTCTTTTTATGATTGGCTGATTTTACTTAGCATAATGTCCTCAAGGTTCATCCATTATGTAGCATATTGCAGAATTTCTTTCCTTTTTAAGGCTGAACAATATTCTATTGTATGTACATACTACATTTTGCTTAGCCATTCATCCATTGATGGACACTTGGTTTGCTTCCACATTTTAGCTATAATGCTATTAACATGGGTGTACAAATGTTTCTTGGAGACGCTACTTTCAATTCTTTGGGGTATATACTCAGAACTGGAATTGCTGGATCATATGGTAATTCTTCTATTTTTAACTTTTTGAGGAACTGCCATACTGTTTTCCACAATGACTGTATCATTTTACATTCCCACCAATAGTGCACAGGGTTCCAATTTCTCCACATCCTTGCCAATACTTTTCTGGGTTTTTTTGTGGTTGTTTTTGCTGAGAAAGATTCGCCCTGAGCTAACATCTGTTGCCAATCTTCCCCTTTTTGCTTGAGGAAGATTCACCCTGAGCTAATATCTGTGCCAATCTTCCTCTATTTTGTATGTGGGTTGCTACCGCAGCATGGCCACTGATGAGTGGTGTAGGTCCATGCCTGGGAATCGAACCCAGGCCGCAGAAGTGGAGTGCACCAAACTTAACCAGTGGGGCCACGAGGCGGCCCTGACACTGTTCTGTTTTTTGATAGTAGCCATCCTAATAAGTGTGAGGTGGTAACTCATTGTGGTTTCGATTTGCATTTCCCTAATGATTAGTGATGTTGAGCATCTTTTCATGTGCTTGTTGAGGATTTGTATATCTTCTTTGGAGAAATGTCTATTCAAGTCCTTTGCCCAATTTTGAATTGCATTGGTTTTATGGCTTTTTTTTTTTTTTTTTGGTGAGGAAGATTAGCCCTGAGCTAACATCTGTTGCCAATCCTCCTCTTTTTGCTGAAGACTGGCCCTGGGCTAACATCCATGCCCGTCTTCCTCTACTCTGTATGTGGGATGCCACCACAGCATGGCTTTATAAGCAGTGTGTAGATCTGGGCCCCTGAATTGCATTGTTTTTT